TTTTTTTTTTCTTGTTGTCTCCCAATCATTTTAATTTAGCAGTTTTTCTCAGATCAGAAAGCTTAATTTGTTATACACAGCATACCAAAAAAAAAAAAAAAAAAAAAAAAAAAAAAGAGGTTGAGGGGGATTTGCTAGTTCATTTTACATATGAAAAAAGAAATCTAAGGAATGCAGGTAATGACAAAAGATGGAAAAAACAAAACTTAAAAGAAAACTTAAAATAACTATGAAGTTTACTCCCCAGCACTGATATGGTGTATTTAGCTTTTAAAAATTACAGTATTTTTGAAAGGGGGACGCGGGGGGTTTTGGTAATTTTTTCAATTTGTCAATTTTGTGACATAAATATTACCCTTTGTCATTTTGCTAGGATGAGAGGAGACTGAGCAATGATTTGCTGCTTCCATCTAAAGCATAAAGTTTTGGGGTTTTTTTGAAAGTTAGTTTTTCATTTCATTAACTGTGAGGTCAATGTGCATTTTTCATATAAAACAAACCCGATTAGCCAGTGTGTTCACTTCGTTTTGTACTTTCCCCAGACTTTTTAAAAATCACAACAAAATACTTATGCAATCTAATTATAAGGTAACATAAAAAGGAAAGCAGAAAAACACCTCGGCTTCCACAGCAGTGGTATCCTTTCTGAGCTCGTGGCAGTGGTTACAGTGAACATAAAAGAGCTTACCAGCTGACAGACAAGGTACTACATGGATACAACATACACACATCATCAGACAGACCCCACCAGCGTGAGGAAGTTCAGACTGACCCAATCTCCGAGCCCAAGGCAGTGACGGGCTCTTTGGAGGGTGTAGGTATCAAACCACCTTCACTCTAGTCTAACTCCACCCATCAGCAAGTGAGATGAGTTTGGTCAATGTACTTAGGCTTTTCTGTACATTTTTAGATACTAAAATACAGTAATTGCAAGGATTCATTTTTTTCAGATGACAAAACGTTTACCTAAATTCTTCCTTTATTGTTTGTTTGTTGCAGCTTGTGCACTGGCTTTTGGGTTGGCAAACCACCTCAATACTAACTTCAGGATGTATTTTGCATGTTACCAGCTGGGAGGTATGGTAGCCTAGCATACAAAGAGGACTATGGGTTAGAAAATCTTTGCTAGTTACAGTTATATATGTGTTAATTACATGTTTGGGGTTTCTTTCAGTAATTACTAACTTGTCAGGCTCCTGGGCTTTTTCCTGAGGTGAGCTGAGAAGCTGCAGCAGCTTTTCCCTCCCAGAGCCAAGTGCCAGCAAGTGACTGGCCGGCTGTGCAGAGGACCTGCACGGCGGAGGACCTGCTGCTTTCTTATCAAATCCCCTCAGACTCAGGGGACATTCCCAGCATAGGGTTTTGCTGGTCTGGGCTGGAGCTAGGCGCTAAGTGTGTGGGCTTAGAGAGCAGCTGTAGCCGAGCTGTGGGGTGGGAGGCGAGTGTGGTCACCCTGTTCCAGGCTTGGAAGAGCCTCCCTTTTCCTCACCTTAGACTTACATGCAGTTTTAGGAGTAACAGCCCTGTGTCTATTCACGGCCAGAGAAAGGCAACGGCCAGAAAGCCTGCTTGCTTTGCATGAGGGCAAGGATGCAAGTGATCAACCAGCTCTATATAAGGGAGGGGGATGTTGAACTAAAGCTTCCTGAAGCACTGCTGCTGACTGTGACTCTAAAGGATACCTGAAGCAGATCTGAGCTAGGGAGGGAAGTGGCAAAGAGGGAAACACTTGGGCACCAAGCTCCTCTCTTCCCCTCAAAAGAAAGAGGGCTCTTGGAGTATCAACTGCTCAGCTGCTTTTGCTGGGGAGTTGGAAGGCGCACTTTTGGTCTGAGGGGCTGGGAGAGGAGGAGGGTGAGTGGGTGAAATGCAGAGCTGTTTATGGGAGTAAAGCTTTGGGTTTCCTAACTGCAGTGTGTATCTGTCCCCATGGATGAGCAGCTCGGAATTTTTCTAACCCTTGCAGCAGAGTTGCTCTTTGCAGAGAGGAGAGCATCCTTGTGCTGCTAGCCACGCTACTCACAATTTACTCGCACAGCAGGATTTACATTAAGAATATTGAATCAGGGAATCTGAACTCCAGTGTACACACTCGACTTGGGTTGTAGGAGTTACATCTACATCTTTGTAGATTTTGAAAAACTCAGTTTATGCAGTTGGATTTTTTAGTATTTTTAACTCAGCATTATTCTGGGAGGGGGGCATACAGAAAGAGAATGCAGAGTTCAATGTTTCGGTGGCTTCAAATTTGACTACCTTGCTACTGATAGGGGGGGGTGTTTGAGTCTGAGCTTTGTCCTGCACCAGTAGGGAGAATAGGTCCCACAGGCTAAATGCTGGTGTTGGTAGCAGCCATTCGAACTCCCAGTTTCTGCTGTACTAGCACAGGTACAATTAAAGCAATAATTTGCTCTGCTTCACATTTATTACTGGTGGTAATACGTAAGGTAAAGTATGTCAGGTTAGCTAACAGCTGTCCTGTGACAGCGGGGAGTTTCCCAAACCAACTGTAGATGCAACAAAATTGAATGTGAAAGCAGATGAGGCAGCCTTCATACAAAATCTCATGGTGCCAATTTTACACTGTCCCTTTGAAGACCTACGCTTTATAAACACACACCCCAATGTCCACATCCTGCATTACACAAAAGTGGTGAAAGGAATAAAGCTCGAGTGTGGCTCTGGTGGTCCTGTTAGCTCTGTGAATGAACCTCTCGTCAAAATGGCAGTAAAATAATATCTTCAGGAAACTGCTCTTCAACAGGAGCAAGTGCTGCTGGCTACAATTCATTTATAATCCAAAGTCAAACATTGCACAGGAAACTTAGACTGTGGTTCTTTCTTAATAAAAGCTAGAAGATGGAATTGGATAATGAAAATCCAGTTACTACAGTGGAGACCAGTTAAGAGAGAAGATTTTACAGGAGAAGACGCTTCTATTGCAAACAAGCTAGGACACATTCTACTCATACAGAGGTCAGTACTCGGATAACCAATACAGAATCAAAACAATACTTTAGAAATATTTAAAATCTCTGTTTTGGTATTGTATCAACATACTTATATATCTATAATTTAGAGGATATTATGTACATATTTGACACCAGATTGCAATAAAAGTCTTAAAACAGTTTGATAAATTATTCTATAGATGCTACTTTGGTTGAAGGATAGTTTAAAGATACACACAGAACATCGCAGGAACACTGTGGATAGATTTATTTTTTACATCCTATGCTGCTTTAAGACATTGATTTATGCAGAAATACTGGCCCTGGAAACCAAGTCCACAAGAATGAGAGATCTTGTGGGGGAGAGGAAAAAAAAAAAAAAGTCCACCTTACCCTGAATTGTCATATGGCTTTTAGTTATTAGAATTATTATTTTGACATACCAGACTATACCTTGGGCAGTCTAGGAACTGTAGTCAGCTCTTCCCCAACACTTTATTTCATGCCAATATCTTTGAAAGAGATGCCAGTACTTGTGGCAGGTTTAGGACTGACAAACACTGAAACTGGTTCCCAGAACGCACCGGCCGTGGCAGCCTAGATCTGCCTCACAGAAACCTGCCCAAACACCTAAACCCCAGCTAGAGCAGACCTCCCTCTTGCCTGAAAGTTTCTTGGTTCTTCCTCCAGTGCAACTGCAAACTAGCATTTCTGCTGTGGTGGCACCTAACTGGACAAGAATCTCTCTTGTGAAAGGAGAAATCTGGAACAGTGTCACTTATTTTAAAATGAAAAAGCCACCTTAATGTCCTATGTTACCTTAGAGCTTAATTTATTATACATTACTTTAAGAGTCTTCATTTACAAATGAACTCACTTCATCTAAATACAGTTTCAATACATGATACATAATAATATATGATGGTTTATTGTAGATGATGATAACAAATGACTTCTATCTAGAAATTCAACAGGAAGAAATAAATTGTTTCTGGTTTCACAGGGTATAGATAGAGTATCCGTGGTATATGACTGCTGAGAAGTTTTCTTCTTTGCAAAAGTATTAAAAGACCTCATATATATCCCATTCCATCAAAAGAATCATTAAACAGTAATAAACAGAAGTGTGAGAGTTCACAGGTTTTTCTAAAGTGAGTCAAACAGAGGTTTGTTCACTAGAGTTTCTGTCTCTGGTGAGCAGCTCACTGCAACTCCATTAATAAGAAGTGCATTATTTTATTTGCATGCTTTAGCTGTCTTGAAGATCTTAAATTGTTATCTTCTGAGATCCAGATGCATGCCATATGGTGTTTGTGCAACTAAAAATGAAGGGGTCTATTCTCGTCTCGATGTGTGGGGAATCCCTGAACACCAAGAGAAGAACATATCCTTAAGGGTTAAAGGAGGGAACACATTTTTATTTGTTACAGGGCTTACGGAAATGACTTCTACTTGCTACAAAGAATATAAATCAAAAGAGCTGTAGGTTGTAGGCTTATCTTAGGTTTCACGATGCCACCCCTCAATATATCCTTCCCTAGGAAAATATTTTCAAACTGAGTTATAAAAAGTAATACTTTTTGTTTGCTGTAACACAGAGCTGCACAAACATCCTTTTCCTCCATTGAGACATTTACAGTGGCTTGTAGTGGTGCACTACAGAACCAGGCTGGAGAGGAGGTAGACCTGCTAAGACTGCAGTCCCCCCAAATAAATCACACACTTTCTACTATCTTAACAGCAAACATAGTTAAACACAAAGATTGATTCAGATCACAGTATTTTTCAGGGGACAAAGAAAAAAAAAAAAAAGGCAGTAAAATACATAGATACTCCCCTTCCCCACAATATATTGCCTCAGACCACCATTTACAAGTAGATCTATGAGACAGCACTATATCCATTGCACTTTCTTCTCAGGATAATTGCAAATAAAGGTGGGATCAATTTAATATTTTTCTAAATAATCATATCAAAACTGATAGAGACTTAAGCCATCGCAATGCTTAGCTAAAGAGCCAGTGCCTTCATTAATTCTGGCACTGAGAAGTGGAGAAACAGATAGTCTCACCCCATCTCATTAGGAAATGCTTTTTACAAATTTGTGATGCTCTCTCTGAAAAAATAAATCCTGTGCCTCTTTTAGCAACCAAATGTCATTTTAATATCAACTCTGAGTGGCAATTTCCAGTTAGCAAATTAAATCTGTTTTGCAATCTGTTTCACTATATTTGCCATTTAGGACAGTAAAACGGGTCTGTACAAAGTATTTTCTTCTAAGGAATTTATGACTGTCATTTCATTTAATTTATCCGCCTATATTTTAGGTGGATGCTAATGTGAATATTCAGATTTTTCAGCTTTTGTCATTCAACATGTACCTGGAATTGCACCGGATTAAGCTCCTTTCCGTATAAACCAATAGCAAACACATGTTCTAATGATACAGATTTTACAAATCATTTAGAACTGAATAATACTATGCAAAATGGACACTGCGAAGCAACTTTCTGGATCTATCCAGGACAGACATTTGCTGGAGAGCAGACAGAGCAATCTCGCAGAAGCGTTATCACTTACAAAGCAAACTTACCTTGCATTAATGAGGTACTGTGCTAAGCTGATGTTTGCAGGGGATCCTGTGATTGTAACTTGTCGTTCTGCGGAGCCTTCTGTGGCATTAGCAATCTTGATCTGCGCTCCTGACATCTGCCTGATTTCATTTATCTTACTGCCTTGTCTGCCAATAATGCAGCCTATTAACTGGAGCGGGACAAAGATTGAGATTAGTGCCACAGACACAAGCAAAAACCACTTAACTGCAATTTGTAGTATTGCTAAAATATGGTTATGAAATGCTCAATATCAAAACAAAATATTTTTGCTGTGCTGTCTGGAAGGAATAACTAGAGCAGTCTATTGGCTCTGTGGTCTCTAAATCAAGTTGCACTGCTATGTGGTTATCAACTCAGTATCAAATTACTTAGCTGTCTTCGTGGCAGAAAACAACAGCGTGCTGTGGTGATGACAAATACAAAACACAGCCCGGCCCGATTTGTCAGTGGCATCAGCAAGCCAAGAACAGTAGCTGGAAGTCAGGTTGACCACCCAAAGCTGCCGCTGTGCAGCTCTGCACCCTTCCAGCATGCTGCTGGTCCTAGACCTCCCCGGGCACACGTGGTCCTCACTTGGCCAGATCCTGTGCTATTAAAGTCAGTGGGATTTACAGCTCTGTAAACTGCAGGCAGAAGCAGGTGTAGGATGAGACTGAAATTTGTCTGTGTTCCTTTACAGAAACTTATCAAAACTCATATTTCATGAATAAAACTGAGACTGAGTTTTGTGTATGTATCCCTAGATACTCTCAATTTTTCTGGTAAAATTTCATTGGTGTTATCTGTAATTGTTTTAAAGGTTGTTTAAATGCTTGTGGTGGAGTCACAAGCTTTTGGAAGCTGTGTGCAAGACTTCAAGAAAGCGTTCAGCAGTTGCACTGGGGTAAAGGAGTGTGATAGCTGTGCCAGGCTGTTGCTCCTCTGGCACACGGAGACCGCCAGAGCAAGTGGGCACCAAGCCAGCAGCTGAGGCTGAGAGTTTTGGCTCCTGTAAGGGTGAGAAGGGGGACTTTAGTTTTGTGTTAAGGAAGGATGGTTGCTGAGCAGCTCAGCCATGGCCAGAATGGGTAGAAAATGGAAACTCCACTCTTCAGGTCTATTGACACTGGGATGATGCTGCCAGTTTGGCAGAAAGATGTGCCGAAGTGCAGAGACTGCCTTCCCCTCCCACTTTTCCCACTGCTTCAGACCGTGATGTGTTACCTTTTCTGGTACTATAGTACTTGGAGTATCTTGCCAGAAACAGATTCACATTGTTGAGACATTTTATCAAAAGAAGAAAAAAACTCCTGCAACATAATCTTTGCTTCATGCTCAAGGACAAGAAAGAAGCCAAAACAGAGATCAAGCATAAGATCACCCATGAAGGAGAAAAATGGAATTTCAGGAAATGCACACAGGATTTCCAGTCCTATTCAAACAGCAGATCCTTATCCCAAGGATCTCTCTTAGTGTGTGATTGCATGTGCCAGTGCAGAGGACTATGTCCTCTGTTGGCTTTCACAGCCCAGAAAGCCAACTGTATCCTGGGCTGCATCAAGACAAGTGTGGCCAGCAGGTCAAGGGAGGGGATTCTCCCCCTCTACTTCACTCTCCCGAGACCCCACCTGCAGTGCTGTGTCCAGCCTTGGGGCCCCCAACAGAAGGACATGGACCTGTTGGAGCAGGTCCAGAGGAGGCCATGAAGATGTCCAGGGGGCTGGAGCACCTCCCCTGTGAGAACAGGCTGAGAGTTTTGGGGTTGTTCAGCCTGGAGAATAGAAGGCTCTAAGGAGACCTTATAGAGGGCTTCCAGTACTTAAAGGGGGCTACAGAAAAGATGGGGAGGGACTCTCTATCAGGGAGTGTAGAGATAAACCGAGGGTAACAGTTTTAAACTGAAAAAGGATAGATTTAGATTAGATGTAAGGAAGAAATTATAAGGGTGGTGAGACACTGGAAGAGGTTGCCCAGAGAGGCTGTGGCTGTCCCCTCCCTGGAAATGTTCAAGGCCAGGTTGGACGGGGCTTTGAGCAACCTGGGCTAGTGGAAGATGTCCCTGCCCATGGCAGGGGGGTTGGAAAGAACCTGTCTCTTGTGTGCATGAACATGCCTTCATATGCTAGCTGCCAGCACCACAGGGATCCCTCAGCGTCCACTTCCCATGCCTCAGTCTCACTGCCCTCCACAGTCTGCTGGTAGTGAAGGTGAAGCAGGAGAGAAGAGTGTCTATAGCGTAGGTGGTGGCACCAGTGCCAGCCAGTGGTGGGGAAAATAAAGGCAGTCCTACCAGAGCATCACTGTACAGCAAAGCTGGCAGCACTAGATCCACTCTTATCTGTTAAAACCTGGTGTCAGACTTCCGTAATTTTGTTCCCATGAAACATTTGCATGCCATACTGTAGCTGCAATGTACCCAAATCTGGTCAGAAGTGTTCACTACTTCACAAGCACAACAGAGCACAGGTCAGGGAAAAAGCTTTTGGTCATCTTTACTTGACTGTTAGGCAGAGTTGTTCCTCCAGATATCGGAGAGGCTTGAAATGGCCAACAGGAGTGGAGTATGTCAGTATTTCCTTCTGCTACAACCAGCATCTAACCATTTTTGAGATTATGATCTTGAAGCAAGTGGTGAAGAATCTGTCTGTTGTTACTGATGATCCTATGAAGGAGTGACCAGGATTTAGGCTCTGTGAAGCAGCTGTTATGGTGCCCGTCATGTCTTCAGATTCTTCTGATGTGCAGATCTGAATATGCTTCTGGCTGCTTTAATAATTATGTTGTGCCAACAGGAAAATGTGGACTGCACATATTCCCTCAGTCTATCCACAACAGAAGAGTGGAAATCTGATAAAATTCCATGGTGTAAAAACCATGCAAAAGTATATAAATATATATTATTTAGAAGAATTCCAAGCAGCCCAGTTTACAGGCACAGTTGTCATTGTGGCATTCAAAGCAGAGGAACTGTCTGGGACCACTGGTTCTTCAGGCACATTGTGAGATACGGTCTTACATGTCTGATTCACTGGCTCTGGGAAGGCACTTGCCGGGTCACTCAGGATGCTGCCACTTGTGTGCTGGGGGTTCTCCAATGAGGCTTGTAACCCAGGTGGGTTGGTACAAAGAACTGGAATCTCCTTGCTGACTTTGAGTTAGGTGGTGAGGATTCAGCAAACCAGCTGAGGATATTGGTATACAAGCATCTGGAAGCGAGGTCCAGTAACCTTTGGTCTGAAGCTCTCCAAAGCCACCCTTTGTTGCTGTGACAACGGGCTGCTTGAACATGCCCTGCAAGCCATGACATGACCTGCAGTTCATGCAGAATACACTTCTCCATTTGCCACACAGGAAGGACAGTAGTGATGGGGTACTTGGGCTCCCTCTGGGGTGCCTTTCCCATTATGTATTGCTTATGCTGAAATCTGTGCAGTATCTGAATATTCAAGACTGATTGGTTCTGGAAGAACTTCAAGGGACTGGTTTTCATCTACAAAGCTTTGATCAGTCAGACTATGGACATTTTGTTTTACATAAAAAGACATCCCCTGCCTTGCTTTGAGATGAAGCCATGTCAAATTGCATCCAAACACGTATCTCTCTTCAAGACTGACCTTCCTAATGCTGTCAGCTGCCTCCCACTGTCATTCTGTAGCTGGCTGTGTCACATGATTTGACAAGGCTATGTGTCCCACAAAAGCCCCACACCACAAAAGCAAGCTTCCCCAGACTTGGAAACCTGCTACCTTGCATGCGTGTTTCACAGACATGGGTTTGATGTTTTTTCAAGCTCAGCAGATGGAGTTAGGGAATGTGGAGAACAGTCAACATATAGTTGTTTTCAAGGACTTCAGGTGCTGCATTATTTTTGATGCTCACCTGCTTGCTCAACATACAGTGAGCCTTACTCCCACTTATGGAATAAATCAAGAGGAAAATCTTCAAAAAACAAGCAATAAAGCTGGCCCATGTGAAAGAGCAGCCAAACCTACTATATACTATACCAAGCCTACTATGCACTACAGTATAATACATATACTATAAAAATATATAATATACACATATGTACATAAAAACACACGCACACATAATATGTGTATGTATGTCTGCATGTATATATATATAGATATATTTAACTCTCTCAAGACTTGAGTGGAACAGCTCATATTAGATATGCACCTAGCCCAGCAGCCTGTTTCTGACTGGCAGTAGCAAAAATAAAGGATAAAAACAGTGTGAGATATAAAACAAAGTTGCCATTACTATCCCAAATCCCCACCTAAGGCTTACAGACTACCTGAACAGCAGCTGGTATCTCTGCCTTTATGATCAATAGTTCATGTGTCTGACAAACTTTTTTGAAGCCATTTCTCCTTCTTCTACCCAAGAAGGACCATAGCTGAGACCTGCAGAGCTTGCTCATATGTTGTGTATAAACATCACCATTTGTCTGTACACCTCAAAATTTCAGCTGATGTTCCCTCCCTCTTGGACTGTGAGCACCAGGAAAAAAATGCTTCACTTTCTCTACAGCACTTCTGATCTGTCTTCCCCTACATCAGTATACCTCATTTCTCCTCATGCCAAAAAACCCCAAACAAACCAATGCTAAAACAGGGATCCTACCTTTTGCCTTATTCTAAATTTACTTTGTCCTTTAGTAAAGTTCTGCTGGTACCAATGTAAGCAGGACTCAATCAGGAGTCTGGACTCTTAAAGGGTGGGACTGGAAGGTCTACTGTGATTACTCCTGCCCCAAACTCTTGATGCTGATGGTTTCTCTCAATACCCTATGCCATCACTGGTTCAGGTCTCTTCCATTTTTTTTCTTCCTTGCCCATAATGCTAAATAATATATGTTTTCCCATAATGCTAAAGTCACTGACAGAGCTTAATAATAATAGCTTCCTGCTGGGTGTTTCCTACAGGTTTGTTTCTCTACATCCCTCACACTGCGTCACTTCTGTGCAGCACTGGGAGCAATCAGACTTTCAGGTTTTGGTTTATTATCCAAGTCAAATGCTGTGGAGAATTGCTTGTCACAGGAAGTGGCATGGAGCTCACTTTCTTTTTAAATACTGGTAAAAAAAATCAGATTACTTTTTTATAACGAATGTAGTGCCGGTAAAAAAGGGCCAAGTAGCCTCTGCAACTTCATATCTGCTGTCCGGAGCAGAGGGGCTGACCATACCTGTCCCCAGGTGTACGTGCTTCCCCTTGGTTCCCCGCTGCAGAGCAAGTCCATTGGCTTTGGCAAAGCCTCTGCATTAGTTGAGCGAGCAGCTGCTATCATGAAGGAGACTCTTCAATTGCTTTTCATAAAGCTACAGGCTTTCTTCGTTCCAGGTTTAGGTTGGTTTGGGTTTTTTCAGTTAGAAATCCTAGGTTAGAAATTCTCTATAGGAAGAAACAGTCTCCTGAGGTATGATTACAGTTCTTTACAGACTTACTGCAGGGCCTGGAAAGAGATGTTTAAATACTCTGTGTCTCTTAAAAACAATAATGATAATAATTAACTTCACTTTCCTTGCCAGGATAATGCAAAATCTGGACTATAATAATTTCACAGGCTTTGCAAGAAAGCATACAAAAAACTGAGAAAACATGTTCAGAAATGAGCCTTCTTATTACTTGTTTTGTAACCCGAATGACTGCAGATTTGTGTGCGTTTCTGTTTATTGAGGGCCCTCCCTAAAGTGAGCAGCAGGTGGTTCTGGGGGGATTACTTTTAATGCTAAACAGTGCCTTGTCTCACAAATGGTCTCACTTCAATTCTGATGGATATTAAGTCTGCAAAATCTTTTTACTGATTCTTGACCTCACCTGGATAGGTCTACTTGAGGAATCAAATGCCATTTTCTTAGATCAAGGGGAGACAATGTGCAAACATAAAAAATGATTTATTTTTTTTTTCTTGCTAATGCATCCTTTTAAACACCGCTAATTGACAGAATCTGGTTAATTCTGTATTTTTGCTCTGGACATTGCTTCTCTATTACATGAGAGACTTTCAGCAGTAAGATAAATTTATTGAAGTTGAATCCACGGGTCCCTTGCCTTCCATAGAAATGCTTTGATTTACACTACTGCAGGACCTTTCCTAGCATATCTTGCATGGATTATTAAGTTTTGGACTAACCATTGCTTTTAAACCCTCTCATACAACTGGAAAGTTTCTGAGCCAGGGATGGACTTAGCCAGCACCTTGGTTTTGTAAGAAGATGGCACGTGTTCTCAGGACTTTTCTGGGAGAGGGCTGTAGGGAGGGTGAGGTGCACTTTCCCTGTAACATGTGGATGGTGGCTGACCTTGCTGGAAGTCACAGCTAGGGTTGGACACAGCTCTCATGTTCTCCTTAAGGGTTTGTGCTGATTCTCCCTACTGCAGGTAATGGCTTGGGGATCTGCAAAGCTCAGCCTCCCCAGCAACCACTGGTGGAAGAGGCAGTGCCATGTGGACCTCCCTGAAGCATCACATGGAGCTGATGCTGGATCTCACTGTTGGGTGCTCTGAGAGCACATGTGCGTTCCCCTCTGTTGTTTGCAGGGAAGCACTTTTGGCTCCATGGGAAAATAAAAGCAGTTCTTCAGTATGCCATTTCCAAATTGGATGGATTTAAATTTCTTTTTCTACGGAGTATTGATCAGTTTTATAGCTTTCTTAAAATGTTCTTGGTGCTTTCTGAGGGGGAAGTTGTTTTCCAGTTACTTGCCTCTGCCTGTCTCTCCCACATTGCGCAAAATATGCGCAATTTTTAATGAGACAGGGTTTTTTTTAATTATTGGTTTGTTCTTTTGCTCTCAATAGACATTTTAGGGGATTGGAACATGAAATCTTAAGACATCTATTATCTGTGTCTAATCAGCTACAACCACGGATACCATCCCTTCCGTTCCCTTAAGGACCTGCCACTGTTAAAGACACTTCATTCCGGGATTTATGTGAAACGCACCTATATTGTGTAACTTGGGCAGCAGCGGAAGGCCAAACAAGATCACAGCAAGGAAAGAAAGGCAATCAAATGCTCCTGTAAGAGGATTTGATGAGGAAAAGGAGATACTAGATAAGGATCAAAGTGACTTCTGAGAAGGACCTGGAGAAATGTCATCTGTGTTCTCTTTCTGGAGATACCCAGAAGTTACGAGAAAACCTAGAAAGGCAAATCTTCTGAATTCATTATTTGGAGAGGAAGACTCGCTTTTAACATGTGGAAAATAACTTTCTGTAAAATGTATTTCTTTGTTCTCCAGTATCTCTTTGATATTGAGAAACGGGTTAGTTGCAATTATCAGCATACTGTACAAAGAAAGCAGCATGTTGTTACGGGAACTATTAATAACAGGAGAAAAATTTCTGTCACTGCCTTAATGCCAGAGGAAGTGAAGAAAATTTATTTTTATATGAAAATATGCAAACTGTAAATGTCTATTAATATCTTCTTTTGGTACACTAGGCCAAAGTCGGAGCGCCTTATTCTCCTGACAGATATCTGATTTTGCTCCATCAGATTCTTACCAAGGCTTTGGCTTTATGTGCTTATCATTATTTTGGTTTTAAAAAATAAGTGTAGCACGTGTAAATACACTGACTTCTCTGGTAGCTGCAGAGCATGTAGATATTTGCAAGTCTCGTGCTCTTCTCATGCATGATGGACTTTTGCACACGTAGCACCTATGATAAGAAAGCTGGGGGACTCATGCAGCACAGGGGATCCCTGAAGTCGGGGCAGGCAGGAGACTGGCCATGTGCAGCCTCAGGGCTGCAACACAGCCCTGTGCCAGGGTCTGCAGCTTCCCTCACCTTCAACCAGATAAATAATCACTCTACTCCACTGACTGCCTATCAAAACTGGACTAGGAGATGCTTACTGGGAAAGCGAAGTCGAATTACCCATGCAGGCTTTGCTGAACTGCTGTTGCCTCTCCTATCGTGACTTCCCTCTGTGCACAGCATCTGACTGACGGGGCACCAAAGAAGTGTGGGTGCTGGTGCTTCCTACCCAGCTCCTCTTGGCCCCATGTCCCTCTGTCTCCCTTATCTCCTCATTCTTGGCACTGGGCTGCCTGGAGAGCAGCCTTGCTGCAGCGGTGGGACATGGGACACCACTACGCACGGTTTTGCTGGGAGACCCCAGGGAGGGTACCCTCTTGCTGCTGCAGCCCAAGGCCAGGCTGGTGGGGCACTGCTGCCAGCCCAGAGCACCGGCAGAGTGAACGCCTTGGGAAGACACAGGAGGAAACTTGTTTTCCCCTTGAAAAATTCCCAGGCAGCCCCCGATGCCCGATGAGACACGAGAGCCCTTCCTATCCGCCACGCCAGCACCGTGCACATGCACACGCACACATGTAGTGCCTGTGGGCAGCCCTAATGCCTTTCAGTCCTTTAATGCACACCTTGACACCATACAAACACCAGAACTCCCTTTCACCACCTGTAGAGCCCCTGCAGGCTGTTTCTAAGCCTGACCCCATTTTGGCCTTGGTTTTGCTCCTTGTGCAACAACAACAAGACATGCACTGCATAGGCAGAAAAATCTTCAATTAGACACAGTGCATGGATGTGTGTTTGCTTTTCAGAGGATAGTGCTGAGCTGGGGCATTTCATACCTCCTAGATGAGAAATTGATGGGGTTTTTTAATTTTCTACTGCACTACAGGACACAAGGCCAACTTTCAGCCTCTCCTTCTCAGTTATGAGCCCTGAGAGAAGTCAGAAGAGTGACCTTGGATTTATATCACTGATGGCAAGAACATCTGCCTGAAAGTGAGATTAAAAAATTTGCACTGTAAGGATAACCAGGGTGCTCCCATAAAATTCTCAACATACAATAAATTGGGTTGTAAAGCAGGTACTAATAAATCAGCAGGGCATTTTTTAAGTAACAGCTTACAAAATCACAGCACTCACACCTTTGCTTCTTTGTTATTCTGGCTTTTTTACTTACTGTAAATCATTGCCACTGAGTTTAATAGGGCTTACACAATATTGTAAGTATCTCTTAAGTAATATAATTGCTATTTGTGATCCCACTCATGCTTGAAAGCTTTTTTTACTGGAGGGGAAATCTTCAATTTTCCAAGTGACTCATTTGTAATGAAAACTGAAAAAAAACCCCTGTTTGCAATGAAAGTGAATAAAACAGGAAGGCATTTTTATATGACATGCAGTGTATCAGTTGGGCATTTTGAGTAGCTGTTTTAAGGTTCAGCACCATATTGCTCATGGAGATTGGGTCTGTTGATCACAGCTGGTCCAGAGTTGCTGGAGCAGGAATGTTTCTGGCCCTTGTTTTTCAAATAAACCCTTATATTGCACCTTTACATAACTGAAGTAGCTTTTTTGCTCAGGAAAAATGCCAGCTCGGGTAAGCATGGGGTGCAGCGGATACCGGCAAGGCATAAGCAGTTGCAGCGCAAGCTCTCCATTCCCTGGCACGGAACACACCAGCCCAACACACAGCTGCATGTGTGTTTAGCCCTTCTGCTGAGACTGTCTGTGCTAGTGTCACCTGAGAGATGAATTTTGATAACTCATCTAAGTCCACTCTAAGCAGCAGGCACCCAGGCTTTAACGAAGGTGGTGAAGCACCACGGCACTGGCACCGTTGTGCAACCAAACCAGCATTGCTGGAGACCTGACATGAGAGGGGATAGTCACTTCTGCTGCTTCTGTCCAGCATTTCACTAACCCCTAATACCCCCCTCCCCAACGGACTGAATGCCGTACAGTTTATTCAGGGGACTAGTGTTTACAAATCAGCCAAAGAGGTTTCCCCTCCAGTAGAGGCAGGGGAGCGAGAGAAGAGAAAGTGATACTGACTATTGGTCCACTTACATCATTGGGAATAGTAAGTTCATGGGAACTGGTTGGAGTAGTGGCATCCAGTCCTATTCAGGGGACAGAGGGAAAATGTTACGCCAGTTGTTTGCAAGAAGGGCATGACACAACAAATGATATTTTAAAGAAGGAAAAAAAAAAAAAAAAAAAAAAAAAAAGAGAGGAGCAAAGAAAAACAGAAAACTGCTAGTGAAACAGAAAAGAAAGCAAAAGGTGCAAAACTCAGAGGGCTGAACTAATTTTAAACGAGTCTTATTTTAATTAACCTTTAACCCACCAAAGCAACAAATGTCACATGAGATTCCGCAGGGTCACAAAAAGCTTCTAGAAAATGAAGTGTTTCTGCTAAAAATAGTCTCTCAAGCTTGTTCTAAACACATTGATTAAGAAATTAATGGATGGCTGAAATTTGACCTGTCTACCAGGAGTTCTAGAACACGGAAAATGAAAGTGGAAGTCAAATGAACAATTAGCAGAACAAAATACAGAGATATGACAAAGAAAAATTAATAAATTAAAATAAGGATGAAGAAATTAACCTAGGAAAATTTGGAAATTTTATGTGGGATTAGTTGATGAAGAAATGTTGGGAAGGGTAATTTTGGAAGGGAAATGTACAAAATACTCTAAGCTGCATACATTTGTTTGTAAATTGGGTGGACAAAAGGAAAATGCTCAGGAAAAATGGAATTACTGCTCTAACACACAGTAACATTACAGAAACGTACATCTCGCAAGTATAACCAGGAAAAGATTAAGGAGCAGCATGTTAATGACAAGAATAAGGAAAATATAAAGCTAGGAAAGGCATTTTAGTATTATTTGTAGATATTTTATCAGATACATCATGAAGAAACAAAAGTATATTTTAGATGCCATGTGTCTTTCCTTTTCTCTTCTTTTGGTGTTTATTTATTATTATCTGTAAAGACATGCCAAAAGAAGTCATTTCCAACTAGAAAAGATGGAAAAGAAATACAAAAAAGTGACTCACCTACATTTTACTTGTTTACATTCAATTAAGGCTTGCATATGCTTATTTCACATTGAACAGAAAACAGTCAAATTGCTCACAGAATTTGATGTATGTGATAAAATGTTATTTGGCATACAAAGCATGTACCAGTACACTTGTACTTCTGTTTTGTGAAGTTTTCAGATGCCAAGTGTGTATGTAGTGAGTACAGTAAAAATTATTTATTGCAGTGTCAACTGACTTCTCACTCCTGAATCAAGAATTCAGCTTCAGCTTTAGTACATATGGGCCAAATTTGCTGTCCTTAATTTAACTAAATTTCCATTGTATTTTGTAGCTATATGTGCATATCTATTAGGAAGAGAGGCACTTGTCCCAGCAGTGATGATTACAGATGCTCTTAAGATATTTGACTCTACAAGGAATTCGAGTTTCAGCATGCTGTAATTTCTTTAATCAGTATTTCTGTACCATGATTACATACTGTTTTGCTATGTTTGCTTCTTTCTGAACCAGGTCACCAAGCTGGAAACTTGACAAGAAACATGCCCAAGTATGTCACTCAGGACCGACTGGTACATACTGTATGGTCCATAATAACTTTACGAGGACTGAACAAAAGAAACTCAGGGCTTTTAGCCAATGGCACAAATGAAGCAGTTTTGATTAATAAATGTAACAAACAAAGCACATTTTAGTAATGATGAAAGGAACTCTAACAGAGGTACGGGAGGGGAGAACAGAGATTAATGTGTAAAACAGAAGGATCACTGGTCATTGACCACATTTATTAATAAAATGATGTAATGACCACGGGAAACAAAGCTGTTAAGAAGAAGGACATCCCCAGGGGGTCATGGGTACGTACCAGGGAAACCAGGGGTGGTCTGCCCAAGGGGAGTAAAGGGGGGATGCTGCATAGCCAACTGGTGAAGCTTGGTCAACTGCAGGGCAGGATGGGAAATTAGAACTAACCAATCAAATGGAATTATTTCAGAGCAGAGAAACCATCTTACATGTTCTAAAACTGGATTAATTAAAATTATATCGAACAAAAAATAAAAGGTTTAATCATTCATTCTAATCTACTGTAGAGGAAAAAAAAACCCGAAGTGGTTATAAATGACATCTCCACTGTTATTACATGTAATGGCTATTGTTAATATTAACTAATTACTGTAGAATTACATATTAAAAGAACTCAAATATATCACATGCAAAAAAAGACCAAGATAACTGTCATTTGTTCCTGGGCCATTGTACTTTCTAGCAATTATTACACAAGGTAAGAGATGTAGCTGAGCTAACACTTGGCTATACGTTGTTGTTTAGGAAAGGTGTCCTTAGGTCACGTCTTTATTGCTAACTGTAGAAAGCCAATGTTGCCCAGAACAAATAAGAGGGAGAGGAAGAAAAGGGGAGTAATTTACATGCACTGGACTCACGTCTGGATGAGGGATGGCATACTGCCCCTGAATCGTGAACGCCTGAAAACAACAAGCACAGTTAAGACACAGTCAGTCCAGTGGGACAAGCAACATTCCTGTTCTCATCAGAAAACCCCCTCCTGGCTCCCCAGGCAAATGCCACCCGCACCGCTTTCAATGCTGAGTGAAGCTTAATTGTCTTGTGCTGCTTGATAACATTTGGCACAGTATGGACAGGTCTCTGGCGGGCTGCCCACACACCCCTTGCAAAGCAACGAATGCTAAATTCCACTGCCTGAGCAGTGATGACCTTGGTCCTCAGGACCTCTCTTTAGTCCAGCTCCATCTGCAGAGAGCAGAGCTGAGGGGTTGAGGAGGGTCGAGGAGCATGGGGGTGGCCACTTCCCCTCCCCGCTGTCGCAACCAACCAGTACCACCAATGCAGGCAGGGAGATGCTGATGCCAAAGCAGTAAGGCAGGCAGCGAGGATGGGGCAGACCTGCCCAGGGGACGCCCTGCTCTGCCATCCAGCTCCTGACTGCTGCGTGCAGGGACACATGCCAGCCGGCTCTGAGCCACCTCGTCTGGCCACCGACAGCCACAGATGCTAAGTGCCAGCAAACGTGTGCCCCAGTGCACCCCATGGAGCTCATGCCCCAGGCTGACATGCCAGCGGGTACAAGAGCACATGTGCTGGATGGCAGCCTGTCCTGCAGTGCCTGGGCATGGGGCCAGTGTGCCAGTTTGGAGATAGGAACATGATGGAGACCCCTAGTGTGGTAATCTTATCTCCCACAAGGGGTCAAATATCCCCCCTCCAAATCCAGCCTCTGCACCACAAGAGCAGTGCAAGGAGTGTAGTTTCTGGCATCACTTCTGGCAGTACTGGAGTGAGGTGGGGGAGGCAAAAAACGGCTGTGAGCAAGGAGGGATACAGTGACATGCCTGGCACCAGTTAGCACAGCTCTTTGTCTCTCCTGCTGGCTCTGTTCAATGCTCTGTAATGGCCTACAAAGAAAAAACTATAGAGAGTTTATAATTTTCTATTATATCCTGTAGGGCTTTTCTGAAAGGAACGGCATGTCAGAAAAATTTTAATGTGCTTGCGCTTAGTCAGGCGGGAAAGCAGAACGACAAATTATAATGTATAAATATTTGTAGTGGGAGAATTATAAACAGCAACAGAGCTGATTAGCTTAGTTTTCAAAATGCTTATTTGACAAAAAGCCTTTTAGAAGTAATGAATCCTCTGCAAATGATAAAACAATTCATTTAATGGAGTTTGGATATTAAAACCTTTAATGCCTCAACTGCCTGATGCTCATTTCTGCAGCAGAATTTCCCTTCTGGAGAAGAAATATTTCATTTAGTTTTTAAATTAGTTATAAAGCAAGGCTGCAATCCAGCAAACGTTATTCACGTGAGCAGTATTCAGGCAGAAATGTGTATGACTGGGCTCAATAGGATGCTCACGGGCAAACGTATCACGTGCATCTATGAGGGATGGTTGTTACTGATGGTTTATAAATGGCAAGAAAAGGTTCCAGTCCACCAAAACAGGTGATTACTGACATCAGTGGGTCTTAAGCAAGCACGTATTCATGTAAGCAAAGCGTGCGTTTCAGTGTTTTACCAAATGAGGACAGTCTTAGGGAGATGTTACTCTGCTTTGCTGAGTTGGGGCTCTGGGCATAGTCAAGCACAGGAGCAGTCTCAGGGAGGTTATAGCTGGAAACAGCACAGGCATTTCAGTCCATGAGCAAATAGTGGGTCTGGAAGCCATGCTTTGGTCTCAGAGCCTCTGTACTGGATCACAAGTGTCCCTCCTAATCTTGGCTTTACTTCAAACCCATCTGAGAGAACACCTTTTACATGGGTGCTTCCTAAGCAGTGGTCTGCAAACTATCAAGAAACCACCGCAAAAAAAATCACCAGCAAACATAATAGAAGTCATCCCTTTCCTCAACACTCCGCTCCCTCATACTTCCATGTATACATATGAAGAAGCAAACCAAGTGGAGAAATAACAAAAATAAGGAATACTCAGAGCTCAGACTAGCTTTTATTTGGTTGTCAATGAAAACCATCAAAGCAGCAAGGACAAGATGGGTCTTGAATTTTCCTTCCCAGTTTAAAAAAAAAAAAAAAAAAGCTCTTCATTTCTTAGGCTCCCAAAAGGTAATTTGAGTGATTTAGGCTGAGTAAAAACTGATTTTGACTGCTTTATCCCTTGACAGAGGAACTGTGCCCTTCTGTGGTTGAGGTGTACTAAGTACAAGCCTGGTAGAGACTACTGAAACATCTGTACTGTAATGTTTCACTAAGGACAGAGCTATAGGTCTGCTTCCATCAAAGTCAAGGGCAACTTGCCTACTGATGTACTGACATTAGTAACAGCAGGAATGACCTGGTCTACAAATCTTCCTCAGTTTAAACCATAAAACTGCTAGGAGACATAAAGCAAAGCCATACCCTGTGAGTATCCATCTAAACAGCAATGTAGCACAGTGGGTAGAAATTTCTGAATTGTTTCCATAAGGCAGGAGTGCTGGATTTACATTTTTTTTAACCACTGCATATGCAATACTTTGGTAACAGACAGAGCAGGGCAGGACAGTGTTCAGCTTCGTTTTAGTTCTGTCATGCAATAGAGTATCGAAGAAGCACAAGAGAATTAAAAGCAAAAGAACCCTAACTTGTTAAGGAAAACTAGAAATTTGATTTTGCTAGTGTTGCTTGATATGCAAGCATTAAACAAACCAAAGCCTTTCAAGATAGCCATGATATAATCAAGAATGGAAAAATAATTTCTGATAGGTACCCAAAAGGTTAGATGGAATTAATACTCCTGACAAAATTTCATTTTCAGTATTATTTATGAAACCTGCTTAAAGTGTCTTTCCATACTGACACCCAAACACACCTTAAGCATTTTCTTAAAAAGTCTGCTTAGTCAGAGCACAGAAATTCAAATCACACAGAAAGTCTTTGTCTTACATTCTTTCTCACATCAACAAGGTTGCATTAGAAAAGTGAGAACACTATTTTAACTGATAAAACTGAAGATGACAAGAGCTATTAGCCCTTAAAATAGGATAGTTTAAATTATTTATACAAACTGCTCAGAGCACTTTTGCAATCACTTACAATACTCTTGAGTAATCATACACAGACAGTCTTAGAAGGTAGTGGTAATTATAATACTGTTAACATGGGCTGCTACATATATACACAAGCATTTCTTAAAGGAAAGCACTGCAGTGTAAACATATATATGTAGTAAATTATTCTGAACTTTCAGTCATAGACCAATTTCTGGCTTTAAATTTCAATTCAACTTTGGTCACTAAGGAAGCAGATTTCTTATTCTGAAGACAGTTAACTAAGAGTAGTAGGCTTGAACACCAGGAACTGAAAGCTACTCCAGCCAGATTATGAAAAATTGGACATATATCACAGTGTATCATTACAGAGCAGAAGGTAAAACTCTGAGACAAAAATTCAGAGAAAGCTCATTACAAGGGCCTGTCAGAAGCAATGGCGCTTTGGTGTATGCTTGACATGTGCAGGAGCTTCCTTATGAACGGGCAGATTGTGGTGGTGCAGGTTGTCATACCACCAACAATACCAGCAGCACCTTGTGCCCTCTACCCCACCAGGAACCCCGTGTTCAGCTTCTCATATGACCTCCAAATTGGCTACTGGGGTGAGAAGTGGTCTCTAGGGCTGTAGACACAGCAGCCCACACCCCACAGCCCATGGCATGGTGATGACCTGGGTTGGGATAAATGGGATGGGTGGTGGGACCTGCCTGCAGATGTTCCACCATGCAGGTGAGTGGCTCTTCCCACTTGATAACTACTTAAAAAGAGTCCTTGATGTCATCTTGCGGAAAAGATTTGGCTGGATGGGGGCGTCTAACTGCCAGAGAGGCTTCACAGAAGTGAATCCTGAGTAAAGAGATGGCTACCTTCCTCTAGGCTAGACTGAAAAGATCAGTTTCTAATGGAGTTGGGCAGGGCTTGTAGCACCTCATTCCTCCACCACTGCGCATATCTGGGCAGTGCTGCTCTCTGTGTAGCCTGTTGGCTACATTAAGACCCCTTGTGAGCCTCCTATGGTGTTTTTAGGGTACGTATCAGCTGTATTCATTGATGGCTCATCAGTTACTAAAACTACATTGCCCCTGCAACGGATGATGGCAGAACAAATTCCTACCATGTCTCAGTGGCACGTTGCAGGACCATTTCAGAGCATTATCAAAAGACAAGGAAGAGCCACGTTGCACATGGGGTTTTAAAGGCAGATGAGAACCCGGATTTATATAGCTTAAGATGAAGGGGGAAATCGTCAAAAATTCACTATATAAAACAAAACAGGAATGCTGTTGCATGCCATGGTTGGGAATGTCTACACTTGCGTGTATGTATGTCCTGAGGGACTACAAGCAGCAGAAATAATATGTGTGTATATTTTTACTGCAAAATGTACTATTTTGTCCTAAAAAATATGAAATCTATGAGAGAAAGATTATGCCTTTCATGAGCAGAGATATCCTGCTGTTTGATCTCCTCTGAAAACTGGTAAAACTGCTTATACTGTTAGTGAAGCTGCAAGGTAAAAGTGAAAAAAAAAACCCCTACAATAAGCAGCTTTGTCCCATTCAGGGAGCATCCGATTTGGACAGCTCTCAATTCGCAAGAGGGTAAACTTTTCTTAATTATAGAAGTTAATTTTAAACCTTGGTAAAATACCAGGCATCGCAATTTTGCATCAGGTTTGCAGTGCAGTGTTCTCCTTTCCTGCAAGCACACAGAATAGACAAAACACATCAATACTATACCAGGCAAAAAAGAGTAAAAGTTGAAAACTAACAGGCGCTGGCTGAGGTTGGGCCAAGACGGTGTGGTTTCCAGCTGAAGCCAAAATGGTGTCTGCTCTTACCTGGCCACCTGCAAAAATGATAGGTGCAGAGGCAGGTTTGGGACGATAGGGGATGGTGGCACCTTTGGGTGGGGACTGCAGACAAAAACACAAAGCAAATGCAGAATGAAGCAGAGTTTGTATCAAAAAATTACTCCTTATCTTGGTCACCTCAGACAAGGCATGCAGCTAACCCAGCCTAGCCCACCCCACCCTGTCCTCCAACCCATCAGCCCAAAAGCAAGCTGGAGGCTGGTTGTCCAGGCTTCGAGGGGAAAAGCTGAGGTCCCAACTGCACAGCCGAAACAGGGAGTGTTGGCACTCATGGTTTCATTACTGCCATCATGGGATGAAGCTATGAAGCTTCATTAAGCATGTCAAGGCATTTCACAAAATATGGGCACAATTTTGAAATTTGTCATGTTCTGGAAGAGTCTGGCCTGTGCTCTTGCTTTGTTAACACAGAGCACATCTCCTGCTTATCGATCTTTCCTACACTGCTACACATCAAGGTTTCTTGTTTTACCAACTCAAGTCAGCTGTTCAACTGCAAATGGCCAGCTCGAATTGACCAGCCTGACCCTGCCTTTTGTCTGACTGAGCTGGAAGGCTGGAGAAAAATCCTCCTGGCTTCAGCAGGAGCATGACCACAGCCTTTGTAATGCATGAAAAGGAGTTTGTTCCCTGTAGCCCAAGGCAAGGACCCAAAGACCCAAAGGGAAAACCCCTGACCAAGGCTAAGTTTCTCCTTGTAAATAAAGCAGGAGCATGCATCTGTAAAAAAGGCTTCAAGCCATCTGTGCAACACCTAGCAGAATGGTGCCTTGATTTCAGTGCATTAACTACAACTAAAGAAGGTAACAACAATATTAATTAATTAATATCACATAGTTACCTACTTCATGTAAATAGAAGTATTTGTTGCCAAATTAAATATATGCTGCAAATAAGCGCACATTCATTTTCTTAAACATTTGATGCAGCAAACAGTAGTTAAGCCAGTGTCTTTGTAGTGCTGCTTGTGATTTGCCTAACACTAAAAGTATGTACTGACCTCAAAACTGGTTATTTAAAAAGTGGCTCTACCTGTGGGAAAAATAGGACTGTGTCTCTCTGGTTTTGAGAAGTGGCTGCTCTCATCTTCTTTTAGCAAACAACTATTTATTCCATGAATGTCATTTGGACAATAGACTACACTGTGTATTCACAAAGCTGATAACTAGTACTCCATCTCTAATAAACAAAAATTATTATTTAATATTAACTTTCTGTTCTCTTGCATTTTTATAAAGAAATTCCTTCTTTACAGTAGTCCAGCAAAAACTGAAGCAAGAGACACTTTCCCCCAGAGAAATACTAGGGATTTATTAGGTTTTATGCTTTTATTTGCATTAGGCTGTCATTCTGATGCAAAGGCTGTATGTCATTTTGATGCACTGCATACTTCTGAACAGTCAATAGTCACAGTGCTGTCTCAAACACTCCAATTTCTCCACTCTTTAAAGAATAACACAACAGTAGGGTGTCAGAGATCATCATGGGACAGCCTTTGAGTAGACAAGGAAAAAAATAAACCAAACCAAAAAAAACACAGAAAATTTTTGAGCAGAAAATGTGATGAAAGCAGAGATGTTTCAAGATCCTTGTCAAAAATTATGACTACTAGGTCAAAGTATTTAATTCTGATTTGCTGTCTGATTTGCTGACATTTTTTTTTTCCCAAACTTCTATTCAACTCAGTCATTTAAGAAATGTACTTGCATGAAATTATGGGCGTTTTCAGAAAGGGTTAAAATGCCCAGATTTTTATATAAATTAATTTTGTATCATTTAATCTAAGAGCTAAAAAACTGCCATCAAAATTAAACATTCTGGCCTTATACAATGATCTGACCAAAAATTACTGGTGAATCTAAATTACACCAGTCAGGATTATTTCTATTTAAATAAAGACCTAGATGTTTTCTGCCCTATTCTGCACCAGAATAAAATGCTTTACTCTCAGAATGGGCTGCAGCTCCATGCTGGAGCTGGTTTGTTGTTTGACAGTGTCATGACAGCCCTGGTCTTTGACTGCTAAACCCTGCTGTGAGAGGCTCTCAAACACCAGGAAGGGCACAGTGTAACAAAGTCCTCTTGAATTCCCTGGCATGGGAAGGGCAGGTAGTACCCCTAGCGAGCCCAGGGCAATTGAAAATTAATGATGCATTTGAGCAAGTCCCGAGTGAGCGGTGATATGCCAAGCACTCACTTACCTCCAGCATAACCACGCATATTTGTTTCACACACTGGATAATGGCGTCAGGAGTGCCCGATATAGTCACTGCGCGCTCCGTCGAGTTTGGCAGCATGTCCCCTGCTACCTGCACCTGGGCTCCTGTGGACTTGAGCAGAGACAAAGAAAAGAGAGCGTCACTGTCAGGCAGGCAACGGCACCTCTCAAAAACCAGCGATTCACTGATGTGATGGAGGGGATGCACCTCTAAATGCTTTGTCTTTTCTTCGCTAGATAGGTGATAGAGTGCCCATGTAAACTTATGCCCAGACAGGATAACTAAGGTCTGGCAGGACATGGATTTGCCTGTTCAAGCCCATTTGCAAACACTCCTGTCCTAGGAAGATTAGTCCTCAGTAGCTGTTAATGAATCAAACTGTGACCTGGATTCCATTACAAGTCCTTTAACCCTCTCAAGGACAGCCAGTTTCATACTGACTAAAAAATGAAAAAGGTGAAAGGAAGTATTTTTCAATAATTAAAAAAAAAAAAGGAAAAAAATGTTGATAATTGGAGAAGATCTGCTAATCAAATGACTTGCAGATAGATGGTTCTTTAATCCACTGATGGCTGACTTGTGTCTCTGGATGAAATTTGGGGCTGCCTTATGCTCTGGAATATCCCAGGATGGTACAGAGGCATTTCTAAATTACATTAGAGTTGATTAAATATATGCACATCATCAACTTTTAGCTCATTAATGAACCCAAGGAGGTAATGAACCAGTTTTGTTTTACTTTTTTAAAAATGTTATCTTAGCACTAATGTATCTTAGTTAACAACAACAAAAAAAACCCCAACCAAACCAAAGAAATAAAAAAATACATGAGGCCAAAACAACCCCTGGCATTATTTCACAAACATCCTGAAGACCTTTTAAGTCAATAGAGAAAAACCCAGGCATTTCATATTGAGTTAGCACTTTCACGTATTACAGACAAAATCTATTCCTGACTGTTATCACAATGCAATATTCTGGGTTTTTTAAAAAAGTATTTTCAGTAACCATTGACTTTGTGTCAGTCAGCAAGGAGTTAATTTGTTTTCCTGCTGGTTGCATACAACATGTTATTCTTTTTTCCAAAGACTGATTAAATTACTGATTGCATCTTCTGTTCACTAGTGCTGTTTAAAGCCAGAATATCAATTCCTTGCTGTGTAATAGGCTTTGGAATTTTGCCATAATCTGATCAATCAGTCATGTTTTTCTTTTCTTTTTTTTGGTAATCTTATCTGGAAAGTAGTACTGCAACCCTACATGTTGTTCCTGGGTACATGACTTGAACACAAAAGATCGTCCTTGTGCAATTACCAGTCTGTGTGTTGTGTGATGATGAAACTGGACCACATCTTGAGCTGGATGCGCCTTTTTTTTTTTTCCTGTTTGATCCTATTTGCTGTTTAATGTACAGTTCCAGGTACCTGTGTATCTAGTACAAAATATTCTGCCAAATACTGCAGTCATTCATGCAGTTGTTTCCAGTGCCAATCTTGTTTATTCTTTGACTTTGGTCCTATGTCAGTAACAAAATATAAGTAATATTTTGTCCATTACTCACATGCTTAAGAAAATGTGCAGTGTGACTTCTCGGTACATTAGCCTTATCAAAACACCTATTTGGCCAAACTTTATCCTTTTACTTCCTTGTACTAGACTAATAGGCAATTGCTTCTGAAAATATGCTCATCAGAATAATCACTTCAGTTATTTAATGTACACAGGCCAACAGACCAATCTCAACTTTAAAAATCTATGTCCTAAAAGCACTCACTCAGTGCTCTGGATAAGGTTACCAATATTTAAAATAAAATCCAAAGTATTGACAGCTGTAAAATCTAGAGCTAAGTACTCACCAGCACACGGTTCACGCTTATGCCTGCTCCTGTTTTAATGTAACTAAGAAATCAGCTTGATTCCTGCTGCCTGACAATTCTCCTGGACACCTAAGAGATCTGTAAAACCAAGAGAGTCGCTGAGGTCTCCTCTGACTGTGTGCTCTGACAGTAGCTCTGTCTCCTCCAGTGGCAAGGCTTTAGCCTGGCTTCACCTGCTGCCTGCCAGACACGAACTGCTGCAAACACCAACAGTCTGGTGGATGTCCAGAATCTGAGCCAGAAATGTCCCATGCATAAGGCAAACTGAACACCTTCCTTACACCCAGAAAGCGCACTTCAACACACAAGTATCTTCTACCACAACGTTCTCTGACAAAGCCTTTTGGGTATTAAAGAGAGAGAGAGGGTTTCCCGTGACCCTAACATCTGCACAGAAAGAATGTTTTCTTCCTCTCAGTGTCATCAAGTGACTCCTTTCTTCCACATCTCTAAAGCTTGTTTGACAGTAAGGACTACTGAGACGCATAGCTCCCAGACTCTTTGATAAAAAATAAAGTAACAGCATTCCAAGGAAAAAAAAAATCTGATTTGTAATTGCTTATTATTTGCAGGTCTCAGTAAGCACAGAGACTCCCTTCAAACTGCAGAGCTCTCAACTGTTTTTCTGTGAGTTTACAGCAGGCAACCTATGCGTGTTTCCATGAACACAAGTTTACAAAGCAAGAGGCACATGGAGGGACAACATGTTGTTTGCTTGGCAACAAAAACTCTGAAACAGCTTTTGGCAGCTCTGTCAGCTAATGGAAGCAGCACACACTGCTTTTACTTCCCTTTATGCAAGGAGAGAAAAGACCCTTTCATTAGTGGCCAAATTCTGAAAAGTGAAGATAAGCCTTCAGAGGGAATTTTGTTAAAAAAAAAATCCTGAGACAATCAAATTGGAATTGAAATTAAATAATTTGGAAGAACCTGAAAGTCTTGAAAGGATGAGACCCTTAACTGTCCTCTAGCATCACCTTTACTTCCAAAGCTACCATAAACTACCACTTCATAGCAAATGCTGAATATAAAATTTTGATCGAAGTATTTTACACTCCTTTTTGACATTTGATCAAATTTTCTTTGATGGAAAAATATCCGTTAACTTCTTTTCACATTTGAAATGAAAACATAAAATCTCACTGAAACCTACTGTCTTGGATCTACATTTTAGATAAAAATGTAAGTTTCACTTTGGTAAAGCCTGCCAAAAGCTTTTGTTTTGACACAGTCAAATAAAAAAAATTGTTCAACATGTTATCTTGATATTCAACACATCATTCTATGTTGGAATGAATACAAATTTATAAGGAGTATTGACACTTTCTCCAGAATAAAAATCCATTTTTCTGAAAGGTCCTATTCAGATTTTGTCTACATAACTGAGCATGCACCTAATTTTCTTGTTTGACTGATTACAAACACTGGATCCTTGGTGTGGCATATGCTATGTTGTTACAGTCATGCATAAAAGAATTAAAACTAGCACTCTACGATAATTTTTGCATTTTCTGGTTAAAGGGAAAAGTCACCACTAGCACAGCATATTGCATCAATACCTTTAGATAAAGTCTGGATTAAGAAAAAGTCAATATGGGTTTGGAATACATGAAATCAGGTCACCTGTGGCACAGTGAGATTAGGGAGAAACAATTGAGGAGTATGAAAATGGATTTTTTTCTAAAAAGTAGATCAAGCATTTGATCTACTAACCTGGACTTGCCAGTGATACTCGGGCCCTTCTCTGGATGCAAGGGCAGTAGCTGATTTGGAAGTGGAGGTAACGCTCCAACTCGAGATCACCTGAGTATTGCTGGGAAGGGGCTGTGCACAAAGAGAAACTGGACAAGCTATTTCTGTTGCTAAACTGTTGCTTCGCTAAGTTGTGCATCAGAGACTAATACGTAAAGCTGTTTCTTTATTTCACATACGGTCTTTAGCTTCGAGGAAGGTAGTAGGGTACAGCTGTGCCGGACCCCCGCTTCCCCCAGAGCCAGGCTTTTCCAGGCCTTTCACTCAGCACGCGCTCATGTTTGTGCGATGAGCAAAGTGCAGTGACCCATGGTGGCAGGGCACGCTGTGGTAGGACGCAGAGTTAGGCAGTGTTCCTGGCAGACATCCCAGGACTTACCTCCCTGATTTCTTTGATTTTGGAACCTCCTTTTCCTATGAGGGATCCACACTGGCTTGCTGGGACGACGAGTCGCAGTGTTACGGGTGGTTTGCTTGTCACCGTGCTGTTTGTCATTGAAGCGTTTATGTCCTGTAATCACAACGTCAGAAAGAATTAGTGGAGGATTTGCCATTCCTGGTAAGGACTGAAGGGCTCAGAGCAAATGCCCAAGCTGTTCCTGAAGACCTGGGGAGCGTGCAACCAGCTGTGTTTTGTTTCTGTTGCAGGTAAAGCCGCCGGCTCTGCTGTGAGCACCAACGGCACGAGCAGCTTGTGCCAGAGGAACCCTTTTGCTGTCTGGCGTTGCACGTCCGCACTGCAGGACCAGAGGACAGTCTCTGAGGCAAGATGAGGAACAGGAGGCGGTAGTGTCTGTCATTTGACCCGCCAAAGCAGATGGAGAAGATAAAGAGTTCACAAGCCCTCAAATCCTGATTTGATGTCTTTTCCACCATCTCAATGAGAACACTTCTACTAAACAACAAGTCTTTACATTTCATGCAATTTCTTGTCAGTTTTGATACAAAGGAAAAAGGTTAAAAAAGGGAATGACAAACAATCTGTGAATCATCTGAAGTAGAGAAAATCAGATTATTTTGATAAATATTTTGCTGCCCCTGCACTTAATTTATTTTCTGTAGCAGATGCATAAATATTTGCAGTGTTACATAATTTCAAAAATCTCTTGCATCACAGTTATGTAACCAGAGTACAAGGAGCTCAGCAGAATAGCAATTACCTGCATCCAGGTAAAGTAACCCATATCTGTGTATCACATTATCCAATGAGACTATACTGCAAGTTTTCATGAACATTTCAATACACTGCTTGTTGCAAGGTTTACATTGATTTAAACACATTTTAATAGTTCAGAATCTTCTAGGCAAGACAAAACAATCCCTCTTAACATCTTGAATTCCCGAGAAAAAGATAAAGTTCACCTTCCCACTGATCAATGGGATGCTGTTGAGAGCATTGGGGAAAAAAAAAAAAAAAAAGCCACAAGATGCGTAGCACCTGTCCAACAACTCATGAGAATCTCAATGTGGTTTGCTAACAGTATCTGTGAACTGAAATGAGCATCTCATCCATCTGTGAGGTGGCATGGCACAGCTATTACACCCTTTACAGAAATGCTACCTGAAAAAATAGGTCACAAATGACAGAAAACATGCATTTCATATTAACTCACTTATGAATCGATGAGAGTTCCAGCAAACAGAACTGATGTGTTTCCCCATATTTTCACTTATCAAGACTACTATATGTTAACAATAAAATAAGTGCCTATACTATGTGATCAGGACCCCGAATTAAAAAACAACAACAACAAACAACCACTTTAAACAACTCTGCATGCCTTGTTGAATTGGTGGGGAAGCTCAGTGACACCAGCACTGATACCTGCAGTACCTCTATTTGTGATGGCAGCATTCTTCCATCCAAGAAATGCATCAGTGTGACCTTGCTTAACTTAAAAGAGAAGAAAAGAAGTCTTGAATGGAATGAGGCATTGCTGCATGCCACAAGACAGCTATCAAATCATTCCTCTGCCAGCCATTAACTCACATTTTGTTTAATGCCTGTGTCAGTGAGAGATAATCCAAAATAAAGCAAGAGGGATAACGGAATTTTGCAGGCACCTGTGTATCTGAAAAAGTCCAAGCCAAACCAATTTTTCAGCTGGAAGATGCCATCTCACTATATCATGTTTGTGTCAAGTGGAGGCACACCATCATCAGATGTAGGTAAATAACCATCTTAAGCCACCCAGCATGACCCTGATTATATCTTCTACTTCCATATCATATGTGGCCTGGCCTCAAAGCCTTCACTGCACTTACTGCCTTCAAATGCACGTGACAAAAATTCGAAGACACTTTTCTCTTTATTTTCTCCTCATCATTTCAAAGAACAAAATCTAAATATGTAGGCTCAGCAGTGTAGGGTGCACAATGGAGTTAGTTCAGCTTAAAAACACTACAAAAGAGAAATGAACAGAAAAAATTCCCCTCTAGAACTGCAGGCTCCCAAGTAGGGCTAGCTGAAGACCTTCTCACAGAACAGTCATCTTTCAAACTGGGAGATTCCTATTTCTTTAACCTCTCTTTCTGTGGCACTGCATCCATTTCCTCAGGGCTCTGGCAGACACTAGAGCCAGACCTTGCATGGCTTTCTGCCTCCTTGCCTGGGCTGCTCCTCAGTCAGGATGGGCTAACTGGGAGCCTGGAAGTGGTAGGAGAGCCAGCTCCCAGTGTTGAAGCCTTGCAGCATCCCTAGCTCCTGGCATCCCAAGAGTCACAGTGTCTAAGGCTTCCCAAGGTAAGCAAATCTGGCAACTCAGAAATCTATCAAACCTCCAGGGAAAAATGCAGCAATATTCTTCTTTATTGGGTTCCAAATTAAAATGTTAAACCTGCCAATTTCCACAGCAAGTACAAGTCTGTGAGGTGGCTCCTCACTTCGTAATGACCACCACAGGATTTACCTTAGTTGTAGTAGCAGGAGTTAGTATTTGTCAAAAAGGCATCATCTCAATTGCTTTAATCACCTTGCCTTTCTCTCCTCCTTATTCCCAGAGTTGAGCAATTTCTTCACAAGTATTTGAGGATGAACAAGGATTCCACCAAACTTTCTCTCATTTATTTGGAGAAGGTCTGACAACTGAGGTCTGCCTACTGTTTTTTCCAGCACTTAATTACCACATGCTTCCAGTGGATTATGCATATTTATATCCAAAACTAGAGCTGACCCACTCAGCAGTGAAATTACAGTTGCATTTCTTAGGTCTCAGCCTCCAGCCTGGAAATCACTGGTCTAAAATGTCCTCTCTTTGCAACTCCAGTGGTCTGCCTGGATTACTGCCATTTTTTAACATCTCTCTTTTTCCTCTGCAGTGAATATTTTAGTTATGTAATTGCCTACCTAGCTGGCAAATTCATCATCAGGCTGCTACCAAATCAACTTTTATTAGGAAGGCTGTTAAAGCAGAGTAATACAAGGCTGAAGAGCACCTGTACAGAGAACACTCTTCCAGATCTTGTCTTTATTCCTCTTTCTGGCGCATTTTGAGATTTTTGCTAACATTAGAAAAGCATTCCATGGCTCCCATGTCTTCCTAGACCTGCTTATTCCCAGCTATACAGCTGTAGGGTTGAAATTAAGGGTTCAAGGACTTTATGTCAAAATGTTTTATGTGGGCGTGCATAGCAAATACCAAAAAAACCCTCAAACTGTCAGTCTCACACATGCATCTTTTTTGTTCTGTTTGAAGGTAGCTGCAATAACCAGAGCTGGGCCAGGCACTGTCTGCTCTGGGATTTTCAATTTTTTAAATGGCTGAATAAATCTCCAACAAAAAGACATGCATGAAAAATAACATTTGGTAGCTAGCTCACTTGTAATTTCTGAAACATTACTTTATTTTGCCTCCAAAGTGTTACAGTTATCTCCTTTTATTGACAGGAATAATTATAGGAAACCTAACTGACTATATGAGACATTTTTCTTTACCACTGTTTTTTTAAATATACCAGAAGCCAATTATATTAAAAACTAAATACAGGTATTTCAGAATATAACCACAGTGCCTTATCTGCAGGGAATGCTAATACCCATTTGCTTTAATAAGCACAAGAAGAGTCCAAACTACCCTCTAAAATCTACAAGGGCAAATATGCATAAAATCCAGTCAGATGACTGAATTTCAGATTTATTTGCCTGTTGCTAACTACAGCACTTTCAAAGACAACATGGTGTTGGGTGGTAGGGTGGGGAATCTGATGCTGTGCAGTGTTTGAAGTTTTTATGAGAAATGCAGCGCTATTTCCACTGGGTACTTGTTTTGGTGGGAACTGGCAGGGATTATCTTTGTTAATGATTCCCTCAGCATTTTTCAGAATAAGACCTTGAGCAGTGCATGTTTTTCATGTAGAGGCTGCTCGCTCCAGGTCTCCGTAGATTGGAGGGTATGGTACCATACACAAAACCACCTCTTAAGCTAGAAGAAACAGGGATTGGTACAAGATGGGTAGGAGACAAAGCTGAGAAGAAGATGACAACAGTTGGTTTTAAAATTAGGCTGGAGACAATTACTTGTTTGGTTCTGCAGGATTCAACCTCAATGTCATTATTATCTTATTAATAACTGGTGAGGAAAAATATTAGCATTTTTATAAAAAAAATACCATGCCACAAAACCAGGGTACTTTATCAACGTGCTGAGAGATTGGAATATCATAAAGGAAGATCTGAAAACCCATAAAGGATTGGAGAAATATAAATGGGATTAATATTTGCAGTAGGAAAAAAAAAAGGTCATTTGTCTGAGGGCTGACAGGAATGTCTGCCAAGACCAAAGAAGTTTCACTGAAAACACCTGAGTGGGAGCTGGGGATGCCTGACAGGCACAGCATGGTTGTGTGCAAAGCATTCCATTAGTAGGAGGTGAGGCATTTCCAGCAGCGGTAGGGATATGTAAGCATGATTGCCAGGACATAGGACTGTTAGTGCCATTAAATAAGCCCTTGTGGAACTTCATTTGCAACCTGTCCACAATTAACACATACATTTAATAAAAACTGTAATTGGGAAAAGGTAGAAAGGGAGTACTCGAGTCATGAGAGGATTGGGAATGCAACCTTTGAAAGACTGAGCTTGCCTTACTTACTCTGGCAAAAGCAGGGGTGTGAGGGAATAAGACTGCTTTCTAAAAATGTGTCTAAGAGGGGAATCCTTGGGGATGAAGGCAAGAATTGTTTAAACTAAAGGCCAGTGCTGGCACAGGAACAAAGCTGCATAAACTGCTCATGAATAAATTTAGGTAAGGAGCGAAAAGAAGGTGTCTAATTATCAGAGAATGGAGGTTGTGGAATCAATATCAGAAACTAGAAAAAAAATCTTAACTTGTTTTTGATCATACTATGAAGAAGATTGCAAGTCATACTGCTTATGATAGAAGATAACGGCATCTGATGACCCTCAAGCTCTCTTCTAGTCTTGTTACTCTAAATGTGAACAATCACCTTGTGTAAATAAAGGCACATGCTGACATTTCCCACCAATGCTAGCATCTCACAGTTCTATGGGGAGATGAGGAGACTAACCTCACTGACTTGGAGAAACAGGTACTCTTAAGAAAGGGACTCAAATCCCTCTGGTTTAATCACTGATGGACAGACACAGACCCTTTCTCCTGATGCAGGTGATTCAGTCCACCTATCTGCAGGTTCTTCCTTTAGCAGGAGGTAAATTGCCTTCTGCTGGGGCCTCTGTCTATCCACAAAGGACAAGAGAGATGCCTGGAGTGGATGTCTGTGTTGGTTTAGGCTCTGCTGGGATCGGAGACCATGCTGCTGTTGTCCCTCCCCCACCCTCGGACACAAGTAGGGCACAAACCCCAGATTAAAATAAGAAGAAATTTAATACAACAGTGTAATAAACAATCTGAACAACAACAGTAGCAATGATAACAACAATAAACAGTAATAACAGTAAACAAGACAAAAGATATACAGAGAAATACTGCAATGATACAGCCAGCCCACCGCGTGTGCTTTCTGCGATCAAAGCCACAAAGGAAAGCTTCCCGCACTGCCATGCGGGACGTGATGTCAGCATGGTATGAATAACCCGGCTTGAGATCCTTTCTCCCTGCTGGGGAAACTTAGCCCTATCCTAGCTTAACCAGGAGAACGTCTGATTTTCAAGAGTCAAGGGAGTTAAATGCTCTCCTGAGTGACCAGGGTTCATGTTCTGTAGCCTGCTGCCTTTTCTGTGAGGTTTCCCATTAGGTGATCCATCTAATTATAGCTGGATGATGCAACTTGAGGAGATCCTAGTAATTTAGGAGTGCAGTGATAGGATGAAGAGTAAGGGTTTTAAACTGGAAGAGGGTAGATTCAGATTAGATGTAAGGAAGAAATTATTTCCTGTGAGGGTGGTGAGACACTGGCACAGGTTGCCCAGAGAAGTTGTGGCTGCCCCCTCCCTCGACGTGTTCAAGGCCAGGTTGGACGGGGCTTTGAGCAACCTGGTCTAGTGGAAGGTGTCCCTGCCCATGGCAGGGGGGTTGGAACTGGATGATCTTTAAGGTCTCTTCCAACTCAAACTACACTCTGATTCTATGATAGCTGCACAGAATGGTAATTCTATAGTAAACTGAGCACCCTCTTGCTTCACTTACTCTTAGTGCCATTATTTTAATTAATTTTAAAAGCCATGCTTTAAATATGGTAATTGGTAATCATATAGTTGAATGAATTATATATTCATTTTGACATATATAAAATTTACATCAATACCAAATGGAATCATATAAAAACAGAGCTAAAAGTTAGGCAATTATTCTTACCAAATCAAACCCACAATGGGACCAGAAATTTTCCAAGACATTTTTCCTACCATTAGTGCACATTACTAACAGCAATTGCTTTTCCCTGAAGCCTCCAAAAAGCAAAAGAAATGATCAAACAGCTTGTAAATTGACCCATTATTTTTCTTTAGCGTTACTGCCAAAAGCATTTATAAAAATACAACCACTTTCACTGCTATTAAATAGAACATTAAACAAATCATGTTTAACATTAAAGCAAACATAAGAAAATTCAAACAATGTTTTTATTTCAACATGAAGAGAGAAAAAAAGTATTTTATTTGCTTACCTCTTCAAATTTTAGTGCAATCATAGAAAAAGCTTTAAAAATTGCGTCTGTTGGGCCTGTTATTGTCACAATTCTCTCTGGACAGGAGCCTTCTGAAATATTGATTCGAGCACCACTCTGTCAAAAAGAACAAATATTTTTCAAATTTATATTTCTCAGGGAGCAAACTATGTAAGATTAGGGATACAGTTTGGGAAGGAATATCTTGAGGCATCTAATTCACTGCCCTGCAACGTCATACAATTTCAGCATAAACTGATCACACTCCAAAAATTCTTCTAACTGTGGGAAGCCAGATTCTGTCTAGGTAAATACTCATACAGCCTCCATCACAGTATGCAAATAGAGCTTCTGCAACTCAAAGTTGCAAATAATTGCATAATCAGGTCTTTTCCCTTCCCTCTTGCAGGGTTAACTTTAAGTAGGACCAGAGCTGCAGAATTTCAGATGAGGTGGTTGTCTCCAGGGAGCATCAGCACCTCCCAGGGAAGATGAACCTTTTTGGTTCAGAGACCCAAAGGCAGGGCTTGATCTGTCTAGCTGGGGCATTGCTTTGCAGCACGGAGAAGGTTCCTTATAGATGTGTCTCCTGTGAAGGCAGTCAATTAATATGCACTGAACAACCCTTTAAAAGACTAGTGACAGGACAGGCCAAGAGTAATGGTGTTATCTCCTTAAGGCAAAGAGCCTGTTGGAAGGAGCTGGAAAACCATAAGTCTTGGAAACAAGCCAGCATGGCTCTGAGGTATACTTAGTCCCCTTTATGTCACTGTGGCAGTGCAGAGAAAACTGCAAAACTGGATGTAAATGTATTTTAAGAGGATCTTGGTGAAGATAATGATCAAAGCCAGTTCAGGTAAGACCCACCCTATGCTTTCCCTGAGGTTTCAGACATGGAAATGTGTTAATGCTGTCTAACAAGCCACTGGAGCCTCAACTCATCCACAGCACTGACCTTCTCAAGGATCTGGGCCTGTAGAAAACGTGAGATAATCTGGGTTAATTTGGCCCTTTGCCTTCAGGGTTACCATGAATCAGTCACTGTGCTGTGTGTCTGAGCCGTTATTCATGTGCACGCTTAGCTGCTCAACAAGGTATTTTCCCACACAATAGCAACCAAACACAACAAAAAAACCCAACCCAACCCGGCGGACAGAAAAATCTTGCTGCCACAGACTCGGCTGGCAGACATACTCAGCAATTTTATGTAAGAAAGGGCAGCAGGCACTTCTTCTGACAGGCCAACCTGAGTGGGACTTGCTCTCATCAAACACCAGCACTGCATCAGGAAGATCAGGGCTTGCCCATGCTGGTGGCAATGTCCGGTGGCTGCTGCCAGCACACGGACCCAGGGCCGTGGCACTCAGCTGGGCAGGGAGCGTGTCAGGTGCCGTGCTGGGCAGAGCTGCCTGCAGCAGGCTGGTCTGCCCGTCCCACGGCTGCCTTCATGTGAAGCATGGCTATTCCTTTGAAAACGCAACCATGGGAGCTTGTCTGAAGGATTGCTCCACTGTGGATCAGTGGCAGCCAAAATTTGCAGATGTTACTCCTCCAGTATTTCGCTGGTCAAAACAGAGCTATGGCAATTAAAAAGTTATGTGGCAGCCTCCATATCTGTGTAGGAAGTTAACAACCACAGGGCACAAACCCAAGGTTTTTGTACTTTTCTTTAGGCCTGAAGCTGTCTCTGACATTTCCTCAATGACAGAGAAAGACAAGAGTTGCATTTTGTTCCATGAAACTGTGGCATGCAACTTGCCACATCTGTCAGGAAAGTAAAAAAAAAAGTGTTACATTTTGCTTTTAAAAAAGTACTGAAGAAGGTAGTTATTTAAAGAAAAAACAGGTTATCATCATGTGGAGACATTGCCTCGCCTGCATATTATGCATATAATTCCTTTATTTTAAAAAATCAACTAAACAAATACAGCCTCTTGTGACCACATGTACATGACAGTAGGTTTTCAGGAGTGGAAGAAGTCCATTTGATATTTATCTTGAAAACTAGCTAGGGATCATAACTCTTCTCTAAGATGTTTAACTCAGGAGCATTCTCCAGTGACGGCTTCCCTTTTGTGCATGCAATTTATATCTGAAGATATCTGTCCAGGATCATAATTAATAATTAAATTCTGTTTACTCAACTGGCAGGACTGCCTAGTATATTAGACACATTTTTTTCTTGTATTTTTACTTGTCTTAGCAAATGTACTTATGTGTGAAAACATGGGTGAAAGCTCTTATCATCAAAAAAGGAGCTCTGAACTCAGTCAGCCTGACAACGAACACTCTGTTGTGTATATTTAAACATAGATCTCAACAATTTTATTTACTACAAATACTTTGAGATTTCCCTGCTACAGATCTTCCATCAGTGTATAAATACAACAAAGCAGCTGATGTAGTAATGCACTGCAGATTTACCAGAACCAAACTGACTTTTCTTGAGGCATCCTCTATGCACTTTGCACTCCTAAAGTTTTAAACAGTAGGATTTGTCTTTTGACTTATGTTTTTAGCATTTGCTTCAAAGAAGGAAAATTACATGGATCTCCAGGTAAGATGAGCTGCCTTGAAGGACAAGTGTGGGTCAGTAACCTTCACCTGGGCACAATGCTCTGAAGACACTGCAGTTTGCTCTGTGGCAAGGAAAGAAGCCTGACAACACTGGGGAGACTGAGGTTTACACAGTGCCCTGTTTTATTTAACCTTTTTCTGTTTACAACCTTTTCAAAGGGTGTGAATGGCAGGTGTGCAGGTCTGCTCTGGCCACATCTTACTCACAGCTGCAAACCAATGAAAAGTTAAGGCTTTGCTCAGACATGGCAGAGGGACACTTCGTCCTATAAAACTCTGCTGAAGCTTGTGTCTACCCTCAAACTTTACACAGCGTCAGTCTAATGCTTGGTTTCAGATTTTGGAAACTCTCTACCAGGAGGCCAAGCCACGTGCAGGACTGATGCTGGTATCCTAAAGGAAGATACAGTGGTTTTGATGCACAGAATCATGCTGGCTAAGCTATTCCTGAGATAAGACAGCAGCAGGCATATTGCTATGGGAATGAAAGACTCCAGACTGCTGTGGCGATAAGGAGGTTACATTAACAACAATGTTTAATTTAGGTCAGTACATCTACACACCACCACTTGCAAAGAATGGTGATATTAAATGTACTGCCCACTTGATGGCAGTGTCGGTCTGCACACGCTGAATTTCCCTGTTTACTGAGCTGGAAAGAAAGGCAAGTAAAGACATCAAGGGTTGTCTTACCTCCTCCCTCATCTTCTTGACTGTCTCACCTTTCTGTTAAAGAAACAGAAAAAAGTTAGCCTGGGCTGATGAATCGAACTGATATACAATATTGTGACATGAAAATAAAGAAAGTAATTTCCTGACCTTTCCAATAATGCTTCCAACCTCCTGAAACAGAAAAAAAAAAAAAAGACACCGTGAATGATAACAATTCACTACAGAAGAGCATTTGCTCTGTTCCTAAGCTACTTCACTATCAATTATTTCAAACCTGCAACGTGAAGCATAGCCCCCTTCCATTGTTGCTGTATACAAATATGCCATGTTAGATACAAAGGGGTGGATTGAAAATGTGGTTCTGCAGCTTACTGATTGTGTAGGAAAAATACCTTTAACAGAAGCTGATCTTGTAGCTACAGATCAATCCTGCTACTAAAACCACAGATAAACCCCTATCAGGGAATGAAAATTCAAAAATAATAGAATCACACAACCTGCTAGAGAAAATGGGATTTAATACAAGCATCAAAATAATTGCTGATCTCTCTGAGGGCAGGCATTTACCCTCTTTACACCATGTAATAGCTAGAGCTAAATTTCCACGATACCAAGTGTTATTGTGTAAACACCTGGTGGCCTGTCTTAATCTCCCTATTAAGCACTTACAGAACAATAATTGCTAATCACTTTTTAGGGATTTGGGAATTGTTACCGAGCTCCCACAATCTTCCATGAAGGGACAGAAAATACTGAGAAACGTGCTTGTGAACTTACAATAGGGAAACAATTTGGAAGTTCTGGCAACATTCCAGAAGTTAAAAGCTTGGTGAATAAAACCAACAGGTAGCAAAAATGAAGCTACTACCTCTAAAATGAATAGTCTGGACATGTTACACAAATCATGCAGGTGTGATGTACTGGGAATCATCTGATGGAGAGGAAACCAGCTAAAGGAAAATAAGCTCGTTTCCTGCACTCAGGTTTTGAAACCTACTTCAACAGTTAAAAGAGGGTCTCACATGGCTGATCTGCCCCAGATATATGACCTACCGTTCCCCTCCCCCCAACCCAGTCCATATACTTAAGTCTGACCCATCTTGAAACACAGTCCAAAGAGTAAGATTTTAAAATTGTCCTCCGTTGCTCTGTCCAACGATGGACTCATGATAAATTGGTACTAATTTTGAGTGAAGTAGAGAACTACCTGCAGTGACCTTGAGAAAGCTATTTCTCACCAGAAGGTTATTTATAAGATCAAAATATGAAGCTGCTTGTGCTTGCAATTCCTCACAAACTGCTCACAAGATGTAAAGACTTTTCAGGGAGAAGACGACCTATCTCAATGAAGAATTTTGGCATATGGTTCCTTTGCACTTTCTGCAAGTCTGCACATAACACCAGACTGAGAGGAACAGTCAATACACTGCTGGACCATGGCTGCTATTTGGAGTCACCTAGACGGGCTGGAGAAATGGGCTGAAAGAAACTTCAGGGAACAGAACAAAGTCAAATGAAAAATACTGTGTCTGGGACAGAACAAGTCCATGCAGCAGAACAAGCTGGGCAAAAATTTGCTACATACAAACTGGTTTTCTAGAAAAAGTCCTGAGGGTCCCAGTGTACAACTCCAATATGAGTACATGAACGCATCAGCAGTGCATCCCTGGTCACACAAATGCTGGGCAGTATTAGCAAGACTGTAGCCAGCAGGCTGAGGCAAATGATTCTGGCCTTCTCCTTGTGTTTGTGAGACCATACCTGGAAGATTGTGTCCTGTTTTGGGATCCTAGTACAAGACAGACAAGGACACACTGAATTAAACCAGTGCAGGGCCACCAAGATGGTCAGGGGACCAGAGCACAGGACACATGAAGAGAGGCTGAGAGAACTGCATTTGTTCACCCTTAGGAAGGGAGGACTTGGGGGATATCGTATTGCAGCGTACAATAAGGAAAGCAAGTTGCAACATCTAATTCCTACTTAGTACGAGGAAAAAACTTTTTACCATGGGGATAGCTGGACATTGGAACAGGCACCCAGAGAAGCTGTGAAGTCTCCATCCTTGAAAGTGTCCAAACCCAGCCTGGAGCAACTTGTTCCAATGGATTCAGGAGATGAGACTGGAGACCTCTGGGGGTCCCTTCCAACCTCCATGGGTCTGTGATTCTTCAAGCACAGTTTTATACCCACTGAAGTCAATGCTGAACTAGCTACAAAGTTCCACAACCCAGTGAAGCCCCTTCTCAGGCTAATTTTCAAACTTTACTTTTTCTGTTCCCCATGTCCCCTTTTTATTTCCCTTCCTACTTCTCTTCCAAAATGGGATTCTGCTCTCTTCTACATACCGACCAGAGAACAGGTATTATCCAGACAGCCACTGCAAATCTTCCAGAAGTATCTGCTTTGCAAACCTATAGTTCTGCTGGCTGATGTGCATTAGACCTTCACACGTCACACAGCTGTGCAACTGTTCTTGCTAAAGCTTCCTGTGTCCATCTGGGACTGTGAGACATCTCTACATCCACACATACAATGCAAAGAAGCAGCTCTGTGCAAAGACGAGTGAATGAAGTGGACCCACTGCAGTTTTGTGTCTTGTGACCAAATTACTCCACGTCTCTTAATATATGGGTTTAGGTCATGTCTTTTCCCATGGCTGAGACATACACACCAGTGTGCTGTGTAGGGTCTGTAATAAGGTTCAGCTTTTTTGTTAGCAATGACACAAATAACTGCCAACCTGCCTGTAACTGTTGAATGGGATTAAACAATACAGGGTAAGAGTCTCAATGATGATAAGCCATGTCTAGTAGTTCCTATCTGCCCACTCAGCACATTCAGCAGTTTTACCTTGAAAAGTTTTTCCATTCTTCTCAGTCCCAGCTTTCAGAAGTAAATTCTTTCATAAAACAGATTCTTAGGAGGTAGAAGGACCTTTTGGTATGGGTGCAAGTATCGTGTTTCATTTGCTATGGGCAAGCCATTGTATTTCAGTCCATGGTATAACTGCATTTTTTGTGCATCTGAAGTTTCATTAGAAGCTGTAGTCCTGGTCTTAAACCTGCAAGGCTCTTCCAGTATACACTGAGTACAAAATCTGCCCCAATCCATTTGATCATTGTGAGTCTTAATGAGAGATGCTGCTCTTTCAGAAATGTATGGATGGGTCATGGCTAATATGTACAAAGATATCTTCCTTGGAAACAGGAAAAGATACTTTCTCTTTGAAAACAGAAAAGTCAAACAAAGAAATTGGGAGTATTTAAACAAGCAGAGTAGAGCATAAAATACTAGGATTCTCAAACTGCTTGTTCCACTGAAGTCTGTGGGACTTTTAGTATTGATTTCAGTGGGGACAGGAATTCTACCTGACTGATTATCACCTTGTTATTACCAAAGATTACAAGCTGTTGAAGAACAGAGCAAATGAAACGGTGTGAATCCCACTGAGGAAATATATTGAGACTGGTGACCAGTTTCTTAGAATGTGCTAGCAAAAGCCACTGTAAATGCTATGAGGTACTTCAAACCTTCCCCTCCTCAAAGCGTGAATTTAAAGGCTGTTCTATAAAGAGGCAGTTTCAAAACATCCAAGCAAATGCCACCTATTCCCCTGCACTGGGAGCTGGGATTCTCCTTGGAAATGTGAGAGAGGGACACAGGAGGAGAAAGAAACATTAACTTCACATGAATATTCCTAATATTTCCAGAATTTTTGATCCATATAAATCACAAAAAAAAAAAAAAAAACAAACAAAAAAAACACCAAAACCCCAAAACTAGAATGGTTCTAAATGGTGACTTCAGACTTTTTGGGGGCCTTAGGTTTTTCTAGGAAAGCTTCCATAAGTACTGGTGGCAACGGATCATATCTTTAATTATGAGAAACCTACTTCAGTCACAGATTAAATCAGAAGACTCTTTACACCTCGTTCTCCAAACCACCAATCAAACCGCTACTCCATCAAGCCTTTAATATTTCTTTATACAGTCCAATATTTATTTCTAATAGATTCTTATATCACCCTAAATTACATTTAGTGCTTAATGAGACGCCTAACATCATTTTTATGACACTCAAGTTTTATCAATATTTCTAGCCCAGATTACTTTGAGGGCTTTATCTTCTTCAGAAAATGTTTCTAAATCTGCCAGACACCAAACTGTGCTGTAGTTAACTGTGTAAGACTGAAGGGATGCGATTTCTGTCACCTACATGAGTTCATTAAAAGTTAGGAGTCTAGTGTAAGCCAGGCACATAGCCTCGTCTGCAGTCCAGGGAGAGAGATAATAGAGGATGTTTTGTTCCCAAAAGTGAAGAGGTGTACTCCCAAGGGCTTCACCTTTCTCCATCTGCAGTAGAAGTCCAGACTGACACTAAGATACCTAAAGTTTGGTGAGAGGAATCCTACGGTTGATGTCAAATTCAGCCTCAGTGCAGGTCAGACAGGAGTTTGATTTAGCTGTCCTAGCAAATAATTTCCTACTAGAATATACTAATAACTGTCAAACTATTTGCTGTTTTCCAGTGCTCAGGAAGATAAGCTAAAGGTATGTATTTATGATCAATCACTGGCTAACCCTCTATGCATAAACACAGTAGGAAAATAAGTTATATGATAAAAATCACTGGGTTTCATATAATCACATTTCAATAGCTGGTCAAAAAGCAGAGCACAGTAAAAAAGAAGTTATAAATGAAGGAACTAAAGCTCAGAGGGAGAAGACAGGTCCAAGTCAACCCAGCAGACTGATGCCAGAGCTAGAAGTACTACCCAAGCTCCTTGGCCTCAACATGTGAACAGCCACCTGCCAGAAGCAGATATGCCAGAGCAACCACACTGGATGAGCAGGATGCCTCTGAAAAGCTGCAAGTGTGCGTGTGCCTACATCCACTGATGCATATGTATACACACACATATTTACCTATTTGTGTGTGAAGTCAGTATATGCATGCAGGCACTAAATAGATATACATCAATTTTCCTTTAAGAAATTACAGCAATTTTCGGTGACTATCCTGAGATTCATCATTCAGCCTAGGTAATGCCTTCCAAAGGTCATATCTCTAGGTGACAGTATTTCTGGCCAGACAGTCTCACATTTGGGCTCCAACAGCGTCACTTTGGAAAACCCCAGGAAAATTTAAAACGTACATGCTGATTTCA